GGTTGGGGGAGATACATGCCTGAACAGAGGCCAGAGGTCAGCATTAGGCATCTTCTTTTGCTCTCTACCTTTATTTTTTTGACAAAAGATCTCTCTCTAAATCCAGATCTCATCAATTAGCTAGATTGGTTGGCCCTAAATGCCCAGGTACCCCCCTGTCTCTGCCCCCCAGTACTGGGATTTCAGGGGTATACCCCCACACTTGACTTTTTAGTGAGATTGCTAGGGAGCAGAGCTCAGGTCCTCTCAACTCCTCATGCTCGCATAGCAAGCATTTTACCACCAAGCCTTCTCCCCAACTCTGCATGCCCGGTTCTGCCCCAAGGGATGAGTGCAGACTTGAGGTTTCCATGTTTGCTCCTCAGGAGCCCTGACTTTCCTGTGAGACCTTCCCACTGCAGCACCCAGAGAAGGAAGGCTTCGGACATCCTTAGAGCTTCGTCTTCATTGCTGCGTGTGCTGGGGACACTGTGCCGAAGAGCTTGGTGAGGGACAGGGTCAGCAGGTTTCTTTGGTCAGAGCATTCTCACATGCTAAACCAGGACAAGATCTTCAAGCCACACATCTTCTGTATCTGCCAGGTTATCGCTGGTGTTGCAGCTCTGGACCTCCCTGAGGATTCCTCCAACTCTCCAGGAAAACCTGGGGTCTACCACTTCGCTTGGTTGCTTTCTTTTCTCAGGAAGTGCACCTCCCATCCAGCTCCCTCGGAATGGGAATATCCGTAGCCACTTGGTGAGCACAGAGCACTCAGCTAGTGGATCTGCCTACTTGGCTGGAAATCTGTGTGCTCGGAAGGACAGCTGCGACACTTGTTTGTTGTGGATCCGTAAGACACACATTAGATTTAATAAGCCTGAGAAACAGGGTGTCCTTCACCCAGGTTAAGAAATGATGTCGAGCCAGTGGGGTAGCTGAGGGAGTGAAGGGGCCTGTCACCAAGCCTGATGACCAGACTTTGATCCCTGGGACCCACTGGGTAGGAGGAGGGAGTCAACTCCCACATGCTGTTCCTTACCACTGCGCATGCACGATTATACAGTGAGTGAGCAAATGTAAAAATAGTCTTTAAAAGAAATGGTATATGGAAAGAGGCTCAGGAGAGTGTATAAAGATACAGAACCCACGGCATCCTGCATGTGAATCCTCTCTTGAATACCAAAAAAAAAAAAAAAAACTGAGAGGAAAAAAATTAAAAAGATCCTATTTTGCTATCAAGGGTCTCTTGTCTAGTCACAGAATGCATGTTGCTCATGACATCCTTACAGGGAGGTTAAGAAAATGACAGAAACAGTTCTAAATGAGATGACTCTACAGCCTGGGGACAACAGCTAGCCTAGGAATGGAAGGCTCCTACACAGCCCAGGCCATGGTCCCATCTCCTAACTCAGGAGACATGGAGACACTGAAGAAAGAAACCCCCACAGCTCCCGTCTCAGCACATTCAAAGTGATTTGAGAGAGAGGGCTGAATTGGTCACTCACGGGTCACTTGGGGATGGAGCAGCGAGTGGAGCCTTTAACAGTCGGGACTGACCCTTACAGGTGCCTTTTGGCCCACTTGGGAATGACACATGCGACACAGAAGACTGACTCCCTATCTAGAAAAGAACAGCTGAGCACTGATGCCTTTGGGGCCTGCCAGGGCTGGCCTGTGACAGATGTCCACCAGTGAAATGGCTCAGCAAGTAAAGGCCCTTGCTGCCAAGCCTGCCAACCTGAGCTAAGTCACTGGGACCACCATAGTATGGAGAGAACCAATTGTTACCTGACCATCCGATCCGTATGTATGCTCTGGCACGTGCAAATAGCCCTTTCCATATAAATAGATAGATACAATTAGAGAGAGAAAGTACATATGGGCCTCTATCCCTACAATTTTTAGTTATTATAATGAAATACTTGAGGCTGTGAACTTTAAAGAAAAGAGGTTTATTTTGACTCACAGCCCTGGTCCAAGGTCAAGGGTCCATACTTAGTTATAGACTTCTTAATGGCAGGAAGAAGCACAGGGCTTCACACAGCTTCACACACAAGTGTGTGCCTCTTCTGATCTCTCCTTCCTCTTCTACAGCCACCAGCACTGAATCACGTGCTCTCTCTACTCTGATGACTCTACCTAACCCTGAACACTTGCCCAAAGGTCCCACTTCTAAATATCACAGCGGGATTCAGCTTCTTCCTGCTTGGTACCTTCCAGTGGGGAGTTTCAGCACATGAGCCCATGGGGGCACACTAAAATCATATGTAAGCCACAGCACCCTTCTCCATCCACCTCACAATGCAAAATACTGTTTCTGTTCCCAAGAGTCCTACAGCCTTAGCTCAGTCTGACATTCATTTAAAAGCCTCAAGGTTCATTAGAGACTCAAGCTGACTCTCAGCAGTTGTAAACCTGTACAGTCAGAACAAGTTCCATTTCCAAGATCCAAGGGTGAAACATGGGTAGTGTTCCTGTTTCAAAGGAAGGAATGGAAAAGTGGGAAAGAATATTCAGCCCAAAGCAAGACTAAAATCCTGCAGGGCAAACACTAAATCCTAACATGCCAAGACCAGCCTCTCTCACACACTCTGAGGGGAGGGTTCTGAGCCTTGCTATAGCTTCCTGGCCACGGGGCTGCTCTTCTGCAGCCTTCCTCACTGAAAGCTGCAGGTGCCCATGGCTATACCTTCCTCAGATGGACATAGCCCTGGCTCTGAGGAAGGAAAGGGAGAGCAGAACTGAGTGAGACCTGGGAGGCCTTAAGCAAAGAAGGAAAAAATAGGGTATGAGAAAAACTTGTGAGCTGAGACTAGAGGATGCCCGCTAGAATTGCCTACAGGCACTCCAGGAAGTCTGAGATGAACTGTGGCTTTTTATAAGCTAACACTAACAGTGTGTGAGAAAGTCTGCCCAACGCAAATTAACAGAGCCCTCAATTGTGAGGTGTAAAAGTCCACAGGACTTATACAGTTGAGGCGTCTTCTGGCTTGCTTTCTTGTGAATGCATTTTTTTTTTTTTTTTGAGACAGGGTTTCTCTGTGTAGCCCTGGCTGGCATGAACTCACAGAGATCTGTCTGCCTCTGCCTCCCAAGTGCTGGGAGCAAAGGCGTGCACCACCACTGCCCGGTTAGAATGCATTCTTAATAAATTCCTCACTTTGCTTCCTTCTAAGCCCATCCAATTCCTTGTTCCAAACACCCCGGCAGGTGCTCACTAAACTCCTGCACCCACCAATTTAAGCTACGTTATTTCTTGCCTCACTTGGGGGCTTTCCACAGGGGCTCCAACCCATGGTTAACTTCTGTCAGGGTTCCCTTTGAAACCTCAGGGGAAGTTACCGTGGCATCACAACTGCACACCTAAAATTCCAGCCTGGCCTGGATGCCAAGGCACCCACAGGAGCTGCACTGCACGCAGGCCTGTTTGACTCCAGGCCTTTTTCCAGTTGTTCTGACATCAGCAACTGGCTGGCTTCTGTCCACACTAATCTCTCCAGCAAATGTTTTTCCAACCACACCTTTATAGCTTGTTCTTTGGTCCCTCCTCGGCCAGACTGAGAGGTTTTCAAATCTTTCCCTTTGGTCCTGAGTTTTACTCTAAATCTGACTAAAAGCAGCCAATAATAGCCACACAGCAGCAAGAATCTTGGTTGGTCTGAGATCTTGTTTACCCAGTAAACAAGCTTCAGCTTCTCAAGTGGTGTTCCACGGGGTTTTAGGGTGTGGACCCCACACAGCAGGGTTCTTGGCTATTTCATATAAGAACAACCTCTTTCCTATTTTCTAAGAGGCTTCCCGTTTCCATCTAAGACTTGCTAGTCTCTTCTGAACCATCTCTAGAACTCCCCAGTAGTATTTGCCTTCTATCAATATAAACTTTCCCCAACCCATTTCCCCAGACTCCTGTGACCTCTGCCCATTATCCAGTTTCAAAGCCACTTCCACATTCTCAGATATAGATACAGTAATAACCTCATATACTTTCAGTGCAAATTTTCTGCATTAGTTTTCTGGGTTTTGTTTCATTGTAACAAACTATCCAAACCTAGTAACATTGTAAAGAAAAAAGGCTTATTTTGGTTCATAGCTCCAGTCCCAGGGTAGGAGCCAGTATCTGATGATGACCTTGCTGGCAGATTCTAGGCAGTACTGAGTACCACACAACAAGAGACAGGAATGTCTCCTCTGGCCTCACCTCTTCTTATAAAAGATGTTGGGGGCTCTACACTGATAACCTGATTTGCCCCTAATCACCTCCAAAGTTCAGGCCTCTAAATGCCTCTGTAACATTAAGTTTCCAGCATTTTGATATGGAAATTCTTCCCATCAGAGATTAAATTTTAGGACATGATTCTTGGAAGACATGCAAGCTACATCTGAACATCATAAGGCCTTCAAGGGATGTGCTCCCAGCAACAATACAGTATGCTATATATTTGTATCATATAGTATAGGTGTAATATTATAGAAGGTATTATAAACAGTCTTTTGACACTGGAACATGGCATTGATGTCCACAGATGTGTTGGGCCCTTTTCACATCTATGTTAGGATGTGAGTGACTGATGGGCAGCAAGGTGGACACTCCTGGTAACACAGGAAATATACCCGCATCTGTTCAATAGAGGAACTTTCCCCCTAGGTATTTCCCATTTATTCATGGACAAACCCACAACTGCAGAACTTGGGCACATGGAGGGCCAACTGTATCCACCCCTTCCTCTTCTGTTTACTTACAGCCTCCTTCGGCATTGCTGGAAGGCACTCTATCGCTGGGTAGATTATTGGCCTCAGATGAGTTCCCAGTGCCTAGAAGAAGCCCTGCATACAGCAAGTGCTCACTATTTTCTCCATGTAGCATGACTGAACCACTAAGAGATTCAGGACTATGGGGCAGAGAGGCCCTTATAGCACCTTGACTTTCCCTCTCGTGCAGGTACAAGCCACATTTCATTGCTGGCCCAGGACCACAATCCACTCAGACAACAACCTAATTACAGCCAAATAAAATCACCTACCAAAGGGGGGCAGCAGCTCCGCTCCGGAGGAACAGATGTCTCTTTGCTGGGTCCTCCGGCCATAGGCGGCAGAGTAGATGTTGAGAAACTTGGACTCGTGGCAGTGCAGCTTCAGCTCCTGGTCTTCACACACTGTCTTGTTTTTCAACTCATCTAGAGAGGAAGCAGAAATCGGTGACAGATTAGCCTCGCTGAGAAGAAATGGCTGAGGACCCAACAGCAGACGCATTGGAGCCGGTGGCTCATGCCCACAATCTCAGCATTGGGGAGGTGCCCACAGGAGGATGGGAAGCTCAGGGAAATCCTCACACCCCCAGATGTATAGCAAGTGTGAGGCCATTTGGGGATATATGAGAGAGAGAGAGAGAGAGAGAGAGAGAGAGAGAGAGAGAGAGAGAGAGAGAGAGAGAG